TTCTGCATATGGCACGACTCAGAGTTGTACTTGAAGTCTGTGGTGTACACGGTGAACAGTACAGGAGAGAGAACAGTTCCCTGTGGCGCCCCAGTGCTGCTGACCACAGCCCCAGATGTGATGTCCCCCAGTCTAACAAACTGGGGCCGCTCAGTGAGGTAATCGGTAATCCAGGTCACCAGGCTTGGGTACACTCTCATCTGCAGCAGTTTGTCTCTCAGCAGAAGGGGCAGGATGGTGTTGAAAGCGCTGGAGAAATCAAAAAACATGATTCTCACAGCACTGCCTCCATTGTCCAAGTGAGAGTACAGCCTGTGTAGCAGATAGAGGACGGCATCCTCCACTCCCACATTCCCCTGGTAAGCAAACTGTAGGGGGTCAAGCGCATGGCGAACATGGGGTCTTAGGAGGAGGTGGAGCAGCAGCCGCTCAAGGGTCTTCATTACGTGTGAGGTGAGGGCAACCGGCCTAAAGTCGTTGACTTCTTTGGGGTGTAGCTTCTTGGGAACCGGAACCAGGCATGATGTTTTCCATAGTGTAGGTACCCTCCCCAGACACAGACTCAAGTTGAAGATATGTTGGAGTGGCTCCCCCAGTTCCACAGCACAGGCCTTCAACAATCTTGCACAGATGCCATCTGGCCCAGCAGCTTTCGTTTTTCAGCCTCTTCAACTCTCTCCTTACCTGGTCTACAGTAATAGTGGAGGGTGAGGGGACACTTGCAGAGTCTGGTAGTAGTGGTGGGGGGGGGGGGGGGGGGAGTTTGCAGTGGAATGTCATTTGTGTGTTGAGTTTGGAGCCTTGCAATTGTAGAGTGGATGACGTCACACGCTGTGTCCGGAAGGGCTCGTGGCGGAACGTAAACAAAGACAGCAATGGCCTGCGAGAATTCCCTCGGCATGTAGTACGGCCGGAGACTAACCGCTAGTAACTCCACATCCTTACTGCATACAGTCTCTTTAACTGTAACATGACCGGGATTACACCATCTGTTATTTATGTACAGCGCCATTCCACCTCCCTTCTTCTTGCCGGAAAGTTTGCTATCTCTGTCCAAGCGAACCACGCTGAATCCCGGTAGCTCTACGTTAGCAGTGGGGATGCAGCTAGTTATCCATGTCTCCGTCAGGCATATCAGACTACATTCTCTGAACAACTTCTGGTTCCTTACCAAGGCAGCCAGTTCGTCAGTCTTATTAGCAAGTGAGTTCACGTTCCCCATCACTATCGATGGAATTGAGGGCTTGTATCTCCACTTTCTCCTTTTAACAGAAAGGATCTTAATTTGTTTTTTAAAATTCAATTTATACAAAGTAAATAGTCTTTAGACCACCCTCTTCATAATCATTTACCATGGTCGTTTTATTTAAATAGTGAGGTTTTCTTTTCCAGGTGTAGTCAAGGTTTGACTTGTTAATGGACTTTATTGTTTTGTCAGTTATGGAAAGAGAATAACTTAGATAAATTCATATTGACGGACTTTCAGTCTTTGTTATATAAATCCGACCAAAAAGAAAGATCATTCCGTTTCTTCCATATCCTCCTGAAGCCCAAAGAAAAAAGTGTCCTTCAATTTAAGGTTATTTGTCTTTGGAGGAAATAAGACATTTTACAATTTAGATTTTTTCAAATTTATTTTTATTTTAAATTTCACAGCATGTCCTCTTTAGTGTACAACAGGATAGATGCAAAAACAACGTCCACTACAATGGACATAAATGAATGGGTGGGGTCTCAGGAGGATATATTCAAAGTTTCTCAATTTAGTCTCCCTTAAGTATTTAACTGAAATGTTAATGGTGATACCTTATGCTGCCACAAGATGGCAATTATGTGTAGCGGGTAATTCAGACTTTTCCAACCAGAACCTGAAGTTTCGGAACCTGCTTAACATTTTGTTAATCAAGTTGTGTTGTCTGCCAGCTGACTTATGATTATTTGATTCTCAAATGCATTCAGTTGCTCATCTGAATTTTTGATAAGAATTGAAAACATTTCTGCGACAACTTAATTGTGAATTAATTGTGATTGTGAAATTGGACAACCTTCTTGTATACTTCTGTTAACTGTAACACGAGAGGAAGCACCACCTGATAAAGATACTGAGCTGTGAGTGCCATGATAAAAAGCATTTGATTACGTTCCCGAAATTCTCTCCAATGTCTGCGTCGGGGACCCTTCACAGGGAGTGAGCTGAAACGGTGATCAATGCGGTAATTATGCGTAATACGACGTCATATTACCAAAAACAACGTTGATTCCATCGATTTCGCTTGAAGTGAAATATGTATCGCTGGAGCGTGGTTTGTTTTGATATGTGTTTGTAAAGTACAAAACTGCAACTCACTTTATATAAAATATATTAAATTCAGTTTTTTTTTTACCTTAATATATACACTTTGAAAGCGTCTCAGTGGGGCTATCCTCCAGTGTAAATAAGGAACATGAATCCAGCTCTTGCTGATAAGGACAAGAGACTGTGGGTGAAACTGCTTCTAGTATATTTCGAGTGTGCGAGCCTGGTACTTCAAGATATGCTAATCACAATCGGGGGGTATTTCATTCTCTTCTGAGCGTGAAGCACATGGAGAAGTTGATTTCTTTCAATTGTTCTATTTTGCTGACCACCGTGCCATAGTTTCTTAGTAGTTAAAACCTATACCAATTACTGTGCACAATTCTAATCTGCCTTTATCTTATTTATGGTTCATGAGACAGCTTCAAAGATATGCTATTTTTATGGTGGTGTTTCTGTGGGGGAGATTTATTTTTTTGTAAACACACTGCCTCAAAAAAAGTCACCAAGTTGAGCGCAACACAGCATTGCTAGTTTTGACATCTCGAGTCTCCCTGCCACGTGCTAAAATAGCTGATGTAAATCTTAAGCAGTCTGGGAGAGAACGAAAATAGTTTAACCTTTTTTAATTTAATTGCAAAATAGTGATATTCCACATAATATACACGTTAAACAGACATACATGACTTGATAGTTAGCTTCCGTTTCTTGTTCTAATGAAATTTTAAAATTGTATACTTCTATTGTTAGGCATAATGTTATCATTATCTATCTAATCAGTATTGTTTTGAATAAAGAATTTCAGTTTCTATTCAGTTTCTTATCACCAACACCATAATAATATAATTAACAAGCAGATCTATTTTTGTAAATGAAAAGCTAACCACTCGGAACGCGTCCTTCTCCTCCAACTTCTCCGAAAAGAAGTTAGAACGGTCATCAATGACAGAGAACAATTGAAAATAATCAACATTCTCCATCCGCTTCGCGCTCAGAGAAGGACGTCATGCCTCTTCATCGTGGTTAGCGTGACCAAACACTTTAGAAATGCATCTCTCAAGTCAGAAACTATAGAAATGATCCCTGAAAGTATAGTCTTAACCTGAAACTGCGACGCTCGCCAACCCCTATAATCTACCAAACACTCTAACTCACGGTATCCCGAAACGAGGCTCTGGATCACCGAACTTGATTTTCATTAATTATTTTTCGTAACCATTAATGCATCGCAGTAATAGAATACAGCTGTTCTAAAACTCAGCTCTCCATCTGTACAAGAAGTTCATTTAGATCAAAACCGACTCACATATGAAAATATATGCCACTATAATTAGTCAGAAATTGCACTTAGTAATACAAGTCGGATACTAGTCGTACTTATTTCCGTAAATATTGTGTTGAATGTTATACAAGTTTCCTATTTTAAATGCTTTGCAAAATGTTTTTAATACGGATTTTTTCTACTACCCATAATGCATCCGGCGTTTTTGAATAGCACGGCAAGAATCGGAAGTCACGCGATGTTTCAGTGACCTTACAGAGACAAGTGTGACGGCGCTACCCTTGTCAGTACTTTACGATCCGCTTGTTTTTTTGACACTCTGTTGCTAAGTGTCTTGCCTGATATGTTTTCTCTTAGCTCATTATTATTAGCTGGAACTTTATCTTATGCTTGATTATTTTTGGAGCCGGTTATTTTATTATGTTTTAATCGGCCTACCTCTTTCTGCGCGAGTTTCTGTGTATTTAGCCTGATAAATGATCTGTACTAATCCGTTCAGTCATGAGTAACTGAGATGATGGCGTGCATGTGATGCATGCAATATTATGAATACGTGGCGATGAACTAGCGCAATATTGCTTCATGTTCGCGAATTATGTATTAATTCCACAGCATTTGGTTACAGGTTAATGTATTTCGAAGTTACCTTTTCTTTCCAGAGTAAACGGGTATACAACGCTTTTCATTAATATACAGGGGTTGGTCAGCTGGCTGGAGTCAGATTTTCAATTTGAGATAAGTCTACACACGCATACATTCGCACTTATATGTGTGTCACAGTTTTATTTCCCTGTAAATAGTCTGTAGGGTTTGCGAACTACCCCAGCGCTTTTCATGTAGCCCATTTTAGGTTTATAATGGAATAATACAGGTTTGCCGAAAGATTCCTTGCGTCAGCGTGAGAGTCTAAAAGCCTGAGTGTCACACCAGACGCTTGAGAGTTGGCGACCCAGAATATAGCACTTAGGACACAGGCAACAAATTTTACAGGGAGGTTATGGAGAGTATTTCACGTTATTTAAGCCACATACGGATGTTTAGTAGTGTATGTTTTGGGAATGATTGTATTACACGTATTGTGCATGCACCCTACAATGGGCCGATATCTTTGTATAAGATAGATGGTTTTATGGACAGGTGACATTTTCTGTGGTATAATTATGAATTTAGCCAGGGAAGCATGTGATCACCACTGCGGTACCTTGTACCGTGAGGCTAATGTGGCTCTGCATGTTTTTTTTTGTCTTTGACATGTCTGCTCTTTAATATATTATTTGCGTGAAAACTTATTATGTGCCTTTTTGTGCCTTCTCAAATATTATGACAATGGTAAAATCAAGGACAGTATGCAGTCCTCAGAGTGTGTAGAGTTAGACAGCTAGCAAACAACTAATCAATCTCCAATAAAAAGCAAGGCGTGACTGCTGATATATAGAGGAAACAATATTTTATTATACAGGCAAAAAATACAAAGAAATAATGTACATGAATATTATGAAATCATAGACAGGTAATATTTACATATAACATTGCATGCAACTGAACATCTGTCCATTTTCTGTAACTACTTGTCCCATTCAGGGTGCCGAGGGGTTTGGAGCCTGTCCTAGACACATTGTTTGTGCATAATGCAAAGTATTATACAAATCATGATACTTACAGACAAATCGTGTCAGTGATTAAAGAAAAACTCCACAGAGCAATAAACAGAATACTGAGAGTACTGACTCTGCAAATTTTATTAGAAGTTTTCTACCCTAGCCCTGAATTGTTGTGAGATAAATATAGACTATAAAATACCACATAAAGTATACAATCCCGCACAGATACAATGTTAACCTGAGTAACAAAAAGTTAATGATGAGAAATTAATATCACAACTAAAACGTTATGACACGTTAAATTTCCTTATTTTTGGTCAGTCCAGCTGTGCGAGATCTAAAGGTCAACATTTAGCTTAAATGTGCCCAGAGCTCACTGTGATCCCCGTCTCTGAGTCACGAGGACGAAATGGCCAGTGCCTGGGGGGCCAGAGGGGGAACCACGCTGCTGTAACTTTAATCTGCAGGGGGAACAGCAATAGAAATATGTCACATGTAAGCTAACAACTTTCTTAATTCATAAGTGATATATAAATGAGTGCATTTAGAAATTCTGTCATCGTCTCTTCCAGAAAACAATTTAAGTTTAGAAGATGCAAAGCCTGCATCACCTGTACTTCCAGACGATGACGACTACAAGAATGGCCAGTGACAGTCCTACAACAGTCATGGCAGTAGTACAATCTCTGTTGGGAGCTAAAGGACAAAGCAGACAGGGTCAGTCTGCCCATTGCATATGGGTGCACACTAGGATTAATAATGCCATAGCTGTGAGTCTAAGCCTCGTTCTCCTTACCCCATGTCCTGGTGATGTTTCGGGACAGACTGCTGTGCTGTACCAAGCACGTGTAGCTCTGAATGGTCACACATCCCTGGTTTCCTCCCGATATTGTGAGTGTCTTCTTCAGCTGCAAAGTGCCATCTCCATTGGGCAGCACCTCACCACTGGTCACTCCCTCTACTAGGGGCAGCCAGCCATCTTTCTGCCACTCCACTTGCACCTCCCAGGGGTAGAATCCAGTCACATGACAAGTAACTCTTAAAAAATCTGAGTCTTTTCTCTCATATAAGAAGACCTTTGGTTCTGTTCATAGAAAGAAAAAATGTAGCTTAACTCTTATTTTGATGACATAGGACACATAGAATCTAAAGAGCATTCAGAAAATTTTCAGAACCATCAACTTTTTCCAAACTTTATTGTGGAGTTATTTTAAGATGAATTGAACTGATTCAACTGAAAAACCCTAGCCCATAACAATGAAGTGGAAATAAGGTTTTAAGATTTTTTTTCAGTTTTTTATTATTATTATTATTATTATTATTATTATTATTATTATTAGTAGTAGTAGTAGTAGTAGTAGTAAAACTTCCTATAAATCCATTCCACTTAGCACTGTAGCCAATTAGGTATATACTTTGGGGGCTATTAGATGTAGGTAGGGCTGGACGATGTATTGAGTTTTTTAGATATATTGATATATTTTTATACGAGATTTAGGATGAGACAGTATCGTTTATATCGATACAGATTATGTTGCTTTAAAATTATACTTGTAGAGCCGCCAGTTTGCCACTTTCTCTTCTCCCAGTCTGTCTCTTGCACAACTGCACCCTGCCCCACCCCTCCCCCTCACTCACTAGTCCAGCATGCAGCGACAGCATGGAGACAGACACAGACACGAGGCAAACTAGCGAAAAGGAGCTGGTTGGTAAAATAATACATGCCGGTAGTTTATTTTTGAGCCATTTGTTGATGTCCATCTACGGCTGTCTGTTAATAAAAGTGCCTACGTGACATTGGGGACATTTGGCTTTGACTTGGAATTAACTGTCTATTTGTTATTATATAAAAATATCGAGATATGATTTTTTGGTCCATATCGCCCCGCCCTAGATGTAGGCAGCTCCTGTGAGGTGCAATGTATGTTAAATGATGATCAAACCTCAGTGTATGAAGTATAATTTCACACGTGATTGTGGATCAGCTTGGTTTAGTATCTGAGACACAGTGGGAGTGTTTAAGTGGTAACTGAGTTAAGGTGTAACAATGTAGGGGATCGTAATTACACTTTGTGTGTCACACTGTGGTATAGGACCAGCTGGATGATAAACACCACTTACCTTTTTTACTTTGCAACATAGGAGCATATTTTTGGAATACCTTCAGCCTTTCAGCACAGTCATATTGATAAAAGTTAGCTATGCGTTCAATCAAAATGGGATTTTTTTCCCGTTCCCTCTTGTAGACAGCAGCTTCCGGCATTATGGCGATCCACGTTTTGCTGTTCATATCAAAAGTCAAAAAGTCTCTGCCGTTATACGCATGCGTCAAAAATCCCTGACTTCGTCCATCTGGGTGTAGATCACAACGGCCATATCCTTGGTAGGAATGGACATTTAATGGAGATTCTATGATATGATAAAGGCAAGTATATCAGTTAAAACTGTAATATAGCTCTACATAGTACTACATTTAGGACAGTTGCATGACGAGTCAAAATTATTTCTTTCTTTACCTCCAGTTTGATTAATATGCTGGGAAACAACTTCCACTGCTTTTGCCATATTATTCTGGTTCAGTATTGCTATGGTGTTAATGTCCTTCCAGTGCTGCATCCCATCGTGATTATTCAGCCAATCAGGAAGGGGCACTGCAGCGCTCATCATTGTGCTGTTGTAGGAAAACACTGTCACATTATCCATTGTGATGACTTCGAGATACTCAGGTAACTGAAGTCCTTGCGACCCCATGAAATAGAATTCCATGGAATGGACAGCTATAAAATAGAAAGAATAATCGATACACAAATTAGGCACCCTAGTAAAAATAGTGAGCCAAAAGTATATACGCCAGGAGTCAGCAACTTCAGGTCAACTACGAATCATATTGCACTACTTTTACAGTCAAAAGTTAAGGAGAGATGGTTTAAAATTTTTACTGCGGATCCCTGAAAGGGGAAGATTTGGCAAGTACCTGATGGACGATTAGCTACGATAGGTGTCCTTTAAAACTAGCCTTAAATACATACAAACATAGCTGGTACGAATAAGGCAATGAAGTACTGGGGGGGTATTTTCTGTACGTTGCTTAAATCAGATCCGATCAGGTGCCTCATCTTGGATGAGTTAATGCCAGTGAAACTCATCTGGGATAAGTGGGTTTTTCAAACGCAGCTGTGTAGTAGATTAGTCTAGCTGGATCCATTCATTTGAGATGATTGTGCGTGCCCACGCTGCTTGAAAAGCCCATATATATCGAGTCTAGGAAACTTGATTGGCAAGTCCCTCATTGGCTTCCACAAAACGTCAAAAAAACAGGCCGCAATTTTTCACGCAATCCGAGCAGGACCTTTTATTAGAGGGGTATCATGAATTCAAAGATTTAATATGTACTAAAGGAAACGCATTAAAACCGGCCCAAACCAGAAAAGACGGCTGGCAAAAAGTGTCCGACAAATTAAATGTGTAAGTAGTGTTTAGTTATTGTATTTATTACTTGAATGTATTACATTTCCAATGTTTCATATTTTTTTTGTTATAGTTAAAGATGAAATACAAGCACAATCATGCAGGACATGTGAACAAGTTAAAAAAATATATATATATCTGTGTGTGTGTGTGTGTGTTTGTGTCTGTGTTTGTTAATTTTATGTATATGATGTAGAAAACCTTTAATATTTACAAAACATTCCTTTGGAAGCTAATAAGAAGAAGGCAGACAAAACCTTTGGAAATTCTGGGAAATGAGAATATTAGTGTGATTTTATTAGTCACTCATCCATGAATGGCGAGGCCATGACTGAACCGATTTCCATGCACGGACACTGATTACGTGTCCGAGCTAATCCTTGTTTACGTAGAACAAACCTTCTCCGAGCAGTGGCCTGTACTACGAAGCGGGGTTACTGGCTTATCGGGGTAACTTGTCGGATTTAAGGTACCACAGTTTAAATGTGCTTCATATTCGCTCACTTACATTTTGCCCAGACTACCTTAAATCCAACAAGTTACCCCGATAAGCCAGTAACCCCGCTTCGTAGTACAGGCCACAGGTTTGAGGAGTAGGATGTGCTGCAATGACAACACATCCAGCAAGTGTTTCGAAAACCCGACAGATCCAGGGGGGTATTCCAGAAAGCAGGTTATGTGACATACCCGGGTAAGTTTAAGGGTAAGTTAGTGGATAACCTCACCTTTCGGTTCCAAGAACGGAGGTTATCTTTCTGGGT